GAAACCAATTTGACAATAAATTTCATATTAAAAAAAAAAGAACTCAAGATGAATCACCAAACTAAATGTGAAAGCACATACTATAAAATTTTTAGAAAAAAACAGGAAAAACTCTTTAAGGCTTGAAGCTAGAGAAAGATTTCTTAAACATGACACCAAAAGCACAATCCATTTAAAATTTTTCGTAAACTGCGGGGCGCCTGGGTGGCTCAGTCAGTTGAGCGTCCGACTTCGCTCAGGTCACGATCTCACGGTCCGTGAGTTCGAGCCTCGCGTCGGGCTCTGTGCTGACAGCTCAGAGCCTGGAGCCTGCTTCAGATTCTGTGTCTCCCTCTCTCTCTGGCCCTCCCCCCGTTCATGCTCTGTCTCTCTCTGTCTCAAAAATAAATAAATGTTTAAAAATAAATAAATAAAATAAAATAAAATAAAATTTTTCGTAAACTGGATATCATCTTTTGCACTTCAAAAGACAGCATAAAGGAAATGAAGAAAAGCCAAAAACTACCAGAAATACTTGCAAAACACATCTGATAAAGAATTTGTATCTAGAATTTACAAACTCATAATTCAATAAGACAAACAACCTAATAAAACATTAATAAAAGGGACACCTGGGTGGCTCAGTCGGTTAAGTGTCCACTTCAGCTCAGGTCATGATCTCATGGTTCATGGATTCAAGCCCCAAGTCAGGCTTTGTGCTGACAGCTCAGAGCCTGGAGCTTGCTTTGGATTCTCTCTCTCTCTCTCTCTCTCTCTCTCTCTCTCTGCGCCTCTCCCCCACTCACACTCTGTCTCTGTCTCTCTCTCAAAAATAAACATTAAAAAAAATTTTTTAATTGATAAAAGATTTGAATAGCCATTTTATCAAAGATATCCAAACGGCATGAAAAGAGGCTCAACATTAGTCATTAGTCATATGCATCAAAACCACAATGAGATACCAATTCACACCCACCAGAAAGGCTATAATCAAAATGACATAAAATAATAAACATTGCTGAGCATGGGGGGAAATTGGAACCCTCATATTGCTGGTGGGAATATAAAATGATACAATCGTTTGGAAAGAAGTTTGGTAGTTCCTCAAAATGTTAACTAGTTGCCATATGACCCAGAACTCTGTCCCTGGATATCTACCCAAGAGAAATTAAAACACATTTCCAAACAAAAATGTGTACACAAATGTTTATACTAGCATTATTCAGAATAGCCAAAAAGTGGAAACAACCCAAATGTCTATCAAGTGATAAAATGAATCAACAAAATGTGGTATAGTCAAACAATGGAGTATTGTTCAACAATTAAAAAAGAATGAAATACTGATACATACCAAAACATAAATGAACCTTGAAAATATTATGCTAAGAGAAAGAAATCAACATAAAAGACCACATATTGTATGATTCTATTTATATGATATGTCCAAAAAGGTAAAATTTAAGAAGATGTCCCTGGGTATAAGGGTAATTAACTGGAGGATTAAATGTAATTAGCCAATAGGAATCTTCTAGGAATGACAAAAATGTTTTAAGGCTGGAGGGTGAAGTTACACAACTCACTAAACCTATTAAAAATCACTGGGTTAGGGGCACCTGGGTGGCTCCATTGGTTAAGCATGACTTTGGCTCTGGTCATGATCTCACAGTTCGTGGGTTCAAACCCTACAGCAGGCTCTGTGCTGACAGCTGAGAGCCTGCAGCCTGCTTCGGATTCTGTATCTCCCTCTCTCTCTGCTCTTCCCCTGCTTGTGCCCTGTCTCCCACTCTCTAAAAAGTATCTATTAAAACAATTTTTTTTTAATCATTAAGTTGTACTTTGAAATATGTGAATTTTGTAATATCTAAATTATACTTTGATAAAGTTAATTTTTTTAAAAAATTAGAGAGTTGGGGCATGAGCACAGGGCAGCAAAAGTACTAGGTTTTAGACTTGCTCAAGCTGTTAATGTGACACAGCCAAAGATGTGGGAAATTTAGAAAGTTGTTAAGGATACCAGACTATACAGGGCACCTGTGTGGCTCAGTCGGTTAAGTGTCTGGCTTCAGCTCAGGTCATGATCTCACAGCTTGTAGGTTCAAGCCCCATGATGGGCTCTGTGCTGATAGACCAGAGCCTGGAGCCTGCTTCAGATTCTGTGTCTCCCTCTCTCTCTGTCCCTCCCTCGCTCTCTCTCTCTCTCTCAAAAATAAACATTAAAAAAAAAAAAAAGGATACCAGACTATAGAGACATAGTAATACAGATTTTGAAGTCACCAGGAAAGACATGACAAAGGGACTTTTCTACATATCTTCAACTCTGTACAGATTGATCTACCCTGAAAAGATCTTCACTTGACTATACTAATTCTCTATGTTTCCTTTTCAAAGTTCTTCTACCAATGGTATTTATCCACTGTTTTCATTTCTTCCACTACCCCATTATTTTTTTATTCTCTCAAAGTCTGTGTTCCTTACCTCTTTGTTGAAGCTACTCTCTCAACTCACTAATGGTACCCCATTTTCAAAACCAATGGCCTGTTCTCTGCTTTCATTCTTTTTAACTTCTCTACAAGAAGCCCTGTCAAACTCCAATCCTTGAAACTCATCTCTTAGCTTGTACAACCTTATACTATTCTTAGTCCTCTTCCCACTTCTCTTCTATTTCATTTACCAGATACTTTTACCTCCTACCCTCACTCACACCTTATCAAAATAAGGAAGAACCTTTTCTCCCAAAACAAGAGAGAACTTGGTTTTTACTTCTCTCTTCTTCTCACAAAATCTGTTAAGAAACAGGTCTTTGTTCTACTTTCACAATTAAAAAATAAATTCAGAGAATGTTAACTTGGCTTTTCTCAATTTTGTAACTATCAAAAGCAATCCATGCAGAATTATACGTACAATGAGTGGAATTCAGTATCTGTTTGTGACTCATAAAAAAATGAATGGGATCATCCTAAGCATATCCCTGAAAAGATACTTTTTCCCACTTGGAAACTATTTTAAACATAAGTATAAAACTAAGAACTTTGTATGATTTTTTCATATATACATTTAAAGTTGAGGGGCGCCTGGGTGGCGCAGTCGGTTAAGCGTCCGACTTCAGCCAGGTCACGATCTCGCGGTCCGTGAGTTCGAGCCCCGCGTCAGGCTCTGGGCTGATGGCTCAGAGCCTGGAGCCTGTTTCCGATTCTGTGTCTCCCTCTCTCTCTGCCCCTCCCCCGTTCATGCTCTGTCTCTCTCTGTCCCAAAAATAAGTAAATGTTGAAAAAAAAAAAAATTAAATAAAGTTGTAACAGTTTCCTGGCAGTTAATTTATGTCCCGGTAACTAATGATATTCAAACTAAAAATTTTAAAGTTCTAGAAAGCCAACTAAAATTTCCCCAGATTTCTAATGTCTGGAATCACAAAGCACAAAACTATAAATCTCAAGTAACATCTACAAACAACATGGATCTAGGCTATTCTCCTGTAGACTATTTGTTTCAGTCAAACTTTATTGTCTTCACAAAAATTAATAATAACTTACCAAATCCCAAAGTCCAACTTGCCCAGATTTGGCCCCAGCTGCCACCAAAGTTCTAATTTCTGATGGGTGGAGAGCCACAGAGAGTATTGGGCCTTTGGTAACTTTATGAACAGTATCTTCATTAATGACCATGCCATTTAAATTGGCTTTATAGCTGAGAAAACAAATAAATTTTAGAAGTAAAGCCAATCAATAGTGAAAATAACTAAAACATAACTCAAAAAAAAAGAAAAGAAAAAAGACACAGTAAATAAATAGTTAACCTCCTAGTAACCAAGGAAATCAAATTAAAAAATGGGATACTATTCTTCACTTATAAAAGGTAGCAGGCTGCAGTCAAACATATACATTCATTAATAGTGCTAGTGGCAGAGTAAATTCACATAAAATTTTCAGAAGAAAAAAAAAGATTTCAGAAAACAATTCAGCAATGTATGTCCATGATATTTGACTCAGTAATCTCACTTCTGGAATCTATCCTAAAGAACTAACACACTATCACATTTAAACACAAGCACATATATAACTAAATACACAACTAAACACACAAAACTAAATTGAAAATAATTCCAGGGGCACCTGGGTGGCTCAGTCGGTTAAGCATCCAATTCTTGCTTTCAGCTCGGGTCATGATCTCACTATTTATGAGACTGAGCCCTACATCAGGCTCTGCACTGTTAGTGCACTGTTAGTGCAGAGCCTGCTTGGGATTGTCTCTCTCCATTTATCTCTATATTTATTAAATAAATTTTAAATAAAAAGAAAAAAAAGAATTCTAAATATCAGGAGAGGAAGAAGAGGTTAAGTAAATGCCACCTACTAAATAATATGCAATTAATCAATAAATTTAAAGACTTTAATAAATGTAACTATGTTAAAGAAAAAGCAGAATATAAATGTGTATATACATTAGAACATAATAAACTAAAAATGTATGTGTATTCATTCATTTATTAAACAATGAGTGAATACATATTAAGTGCCAGGCACCATTTTGGTTACTGAAACAAAATCCCTGCACTCATGAAGCTTATATCATAATGGTATTACATATGGCAATACCTGAAAGGAAACATACAAAAACAACAGTTGTTAGGTGGAAATATTATGGGTATTTTTTCCACCTCATTTTCAAAATCTCCTGTAATGGTATATAGTCTGTATAACTTAAAGATTTCAGAAAATATAAAACAAAGACAAGGCATTTCAACTCACTTTTTAATGCTAGATAACTCCTTCTCAGTATTCTTAATACTTGTCTGCAACAATGAAAGAGACCAAAGTACTAAGTTAATATGTATACTGAAATTTCCTTAACAGATAATTCTCAAAGCTATAAGCCCTCCCAAGTGATACCTTGCTCACTTCTGCCCAAGTCTGTAGGAATCCTTTAAACAGGTCGTTGTCATCATCTCGATTTTCAGGAGTCATTTCTAAAGGCCCAGGAGGTAACAAAGGCTGTTTTAAAAAATAAGAAAATCAAGAATAAAATGAGAAATAAAAAGGTTGACTGACTCTTGCTCTGCCCTGGAATGTTTTTCACTACTTTACTTTTGATACCAACAACATAGGTGACACATCAACAGTATTCAAAAATAATGTTCAATGAATGATTGTCAGGTATCCTGTAAGCTAATAATATATATTATCCCATTTAATACTCACAATAATCTAGTGAATGAGATACCACATTTTAAAGAAATTATAATGAAACTTAGAGAAGTTACCTTGTCCAAAGTTACACTGCCAAAAGAGGAGTTGACAGGAATTGGTTCAGAACAGTTCAATTTGTTACTCAGTTAATTATTCTATGCCAGTGGGTTTTTTTAAGTTTATTTATTTATTTTTGAAAGAGAGAGAGAGAGAGAGAGAACGTGCACACTCAAGCGTGCCCGTGAGCGGGGAGATCCAGAGAGAGAGAGAGAATCCCAAGCAGGCACTGCGCTGTCAGTGCAGAGCCCAATTCAGGGCTCAATCCTACAAACCATGAGATCATGACCTGAACTGAAACCAAGAGTTGGACCCTCAACCAACAGAGCCACCCAGGCACCCTGCCAGTGTTTTTTTATTTTTTTATTTTTATTTATTTATTTTTTTTAATTTTTTTTTTTAACATTTATTTATTTTTGAGACAGAGAGAGAGCATGAACAGGGGAGGGTCAGAGAAAGAGGGAGACACAGAATCTGAAACAGGCTCCAGACTCTGAGCTGCCAGCACAGAGCCCGACGTGGGGCTCGAATCCACGGACCGTGAGATCATGACCTGAGCCGAAGTCGGATGCTTAACCAACTGAGCCACCCAGGCGCCCCTGCCAGTGTTTTTTTAAATCCTAGGTTGTAACCCATGGATGGTGAAATCATTTCAATATGTTAAAACAAACAATGTTTTCATGAACGACAAAAGAATAGAGTCAAAAATACAAAATATACATCACATGCAGCAAGTTTAAGTACCATTTCACAAAAGTTCTGCTTTAGCTGTGTGGAATGAGTTCAATGTAAATACATTTATCATGAGTGAAACTTCAGGAAAATTGGAAAGCTACTCTTCCCAAGTACCTTAATTTGCAATTAGCTCCCAAATCACCAGTCTATTTAGTGCTATCTTCCAATTTAGAATTAAGCACTTAGATATAAAGTATTAAAAACCATAGGTGTTCTTGAATAAAAAACATAATTATAATCTGATTTAGACAATAAACTTCGTAAATAAAACTCTTTCTACTCACTAAAAGTACAAAGTTATACCACAGCAAAGGGCTATCACTATTATAACATATTATTTATTATTAATAACATTAATACTACCATTTATTGATTACTTACTAAGCCCTTAACACAACAGAAGAAACTTTACAGATACTATTTCACTTAACCCCCTCAACACCCCTTTGAAGTTTCTATACTATTACCACTTTAAATATGGGGAAATGGGCTCAGAAAGGTTAAGTAATTTACCCACAATTCCACTGCAGATAAGCTTGCAGAAATATAGAATCCAAACTAGTTTTTATGACTTTGAAATCTTAATCATTAAACTATAAACAGCAGCAGTAAATTAATGAAGTACGGGGGCGCCTGGTTGGTTAAGTATCTGACTCTTGATTAGGCTCAGGTCATGATCTCACGGTTCATGAGATCCAGCCCCACATCAGGCTCTGCACAGACAGCTCTGACAGTGAAAGTAGGCTTGGGATTCTCTCTCTCTGCCTCCTTCCCACTCACACTCTCTCTCTCCCTCTCAAAATAAATAAACATTTTTTAAATTAAGTAAAAATTGAACATAAGTTAATGACTTTTTAATCTAGTTTCAAACACTTCAAATTTTTCACTATTTTATTGAGTAACATATTGTTTTTGCACTTTCTTACATTTTCATCTGCTATTAATGTCGGCTGGGCTGGGGTTGCTGGTAATGACACTCCTGAAGGATCTACTTTTAGTAATCTCATTGACCTTCTACATCCAGTCCCATTTTCTCTCTTCTTAGGCATTTTTCTAAGGGAGTGGGGAAAAAACTCAAGTTATAAAACAGTTATATGTACTTACTAATATTAAGGAGGTAACTTTTAGGAATGTATGTCACAGATACACTCACACATTACAAGGATGTATGCACATGACTACAATGACTTTAATTGGGCACTTATGATTTTTCATGCTTTTAAATAAAATCATAGATGTTCATCATGAGGAGGTGAGAGGTGTTAAAATAAATTATAATATACATCTCTAACAGAATAATATGCAACCATAAGAAAATTGAAATAGATCTTTGCATGATGATATGACATGAACTCTTAAGATGTAAGAAACAAAAACAAGGTCCGCTACATGTTGAATATGCTTCAACATATTTGTTTTTTTAGAAAAAGGTTATGTACACACATACATTTTTACATGCTAAGATTATCTATGGAAGAATATACATGAAACTATTAATAGTGGTTTCTTCTAGGGAGAAGGCCAGAAGAACTAAGGTCTAAAATGGAAAAGAGATTTAAATGTTTCATTGCATTTCCGTCCAAACAGTTTACTTTTTAAAATCATATAAATACACTGCTTTTTTATGCACTATTTTTTCATTTTAAAAAAGTAGTTCAGAACTTCCAGTTTCAAGTTCCACATATAAGGAGCTTGAAAGTCATCATTCTGTCTTTTCAAGTAAAAATCTGAACAGATTAAAAAATCAACAACTCTTCTAGGTTCCTTACAAGGCAAGGACACAGTACAAACTGCTGACCTCAATACTGGAGAGACAGAGAAATACAAGGAGTCATGGCTTACTGGAATAGAAAGTCAAGAACAGAAACCACAATGGGAACCAGTACAAAGGTAGGAAAACCTGAACTGTAATTGCCCAATTGATGGGGGCTCAGTGTGGACAAAAACCTGCACATGAGTCTTTATAGAAGCTTTATTCAGAACAGTCAAAACTGGGAAGCAGCCAAGATGTTCTCCACTAATTGAACAAATAAACTACAACACATCCAGACAATGGAATATTATTCAGCACAAAAAAAGAAATGAACTATCAAGCCATGCAAAGACATGGAGGAAAACTAATTGCATAATACTAAGAGAAAGAAGTCAATTTGAAAGGCTACATACTTTATGATCCCAAATACACCACATTCTGTTAAAGGCAAAACTACAGAGACAAAAAGATTCGTAACTGCCACATTTGAGGGTGGTAAGGTGATGAATAAAGAGAACACAGGTAGTAAAAATACTCTATATATTGGGGCACCTGTGTGACTCAGTCAGTTAAGCATCCGACTTTGGCTCAGGTCATGATCTTGCAGTTTGTGAGTTTGAACTTGCATATCTTGCATATCATGATCTTGCTTGGGATTCTCTCTCTCTCTCTGCCCCTTCCCCACTTGCATGACTCTCTCCTTCTCTCAGAATGAATGGATAAACTTTAAAAGATATGTATGTGTGTGTGTGTGTGTGTGTGTGTGTGTGTATTATAAAGATGGATATGTCGTTATACATTTGTACAAACCCATACAATGTACAAAACCATGAGTGAATTGTAAGACAAACAATGGACTTTAGGTAATTATAATGTATCAGTGTAGATTCATCCTTGGTAACAAATGTACCACTCTGCTGAATGATGTTGATAATGGGAGAGTTTATGCATGTGTGGGAGCAGAAGAATATATGGGAAATCTTTGTACCTTTCTCTCAATTTTACTGTGAAGCAATTCTTTAAAAATTCAGTCTTAAAAAATACCTTCAAGGGAGACCACCCCCACTATTTTGAGAGATTTACATCCAGGAGCTTGACTAGGTCTTCAGTAAATATGAGAAAAATCTCCTCATGCTTCCCAGAGGGGGAAGGGAAAAAGAACTACTCTGAAATACTCCTGCCCTTAGGAGAACAAGTTAACCAGAGCCTAACCTGCTGGAGTATTATCAGAGTCTACCCTGAGAGAAAGGAAATACCCAACTCCTGCCCACTTTTAGTATATGTGTTGCCGAAGCGAGCACACTCCTGCCCACTTTTAGCATCCTCTCCCAACCAAGGTGGGGTGGGGGGAGGAAACAACCTAAAACACTTGTGAAGTTCACTGTTAAGAGATACAGGTGTGCTAAATGACTGAGACCTAATCACAGGACTATAGAATGCTTTCTCTCCCCTCTCACACATTACTAATGACCAATTTACAAACTTTCTTTTTCCTCATACATCATATCATGTCCAGCTATCAAGAAAAAAATCACAAGGCACAATGAAAAACAACATAATTTAAAGAGATAGAGCAAGCTTGAGAACCATATATGGCAGGAATGTTGGAATTATCTGAACAGGAATTTAAAACAACTATGATTGATATACTAAGGGCTCTAACACATAAAAAAAAAAAAAAAAAAA